GGCTCGGCAGACTGTAAAATTGAAATAACGATACTGCTATCAAAATAGCTTGGCGATAAAATTTTTCAGCTTTCCGCTCCTTGTGTTAAAGCTTTCTTTTTTTAGGCAGTGCATATTCTTAAGAAAATACTAATCGACATTAAATCTATTGCAAGATAAAGTTAATAATGTTGATTACAATCTTACGTTATTATAGTCTTGAATGATGCTCGAATTTTTATCTCTAAAATCCTTTTTCACGATAAGACGCTTATTAATTTTCATGTATGAGTAACAAACGCGGCCGAAAGAGACCGCGGAAAACTGCGACGAGATACAGAAATTCTCGCGTGGAAATTTTGAAGAGAGTATCTTCCGTCGTCGAAACGTTTGCTGCGTCTAAGTTTCCGCTAGGAATCCATTTAAGTCTTTCTGGAGGACGCGAGAGGGATCTAGCCAGTACCAAAGAGAGATCCTTGAACCTGCCTCCGGCTTTCGCGATTCGACGGGCCGTAAAATTGGGATATCGATCGAGGTCGCGGCGAAGAAAATTCCTACCGTTGTCGATTTAGGCGTTCACCTGGGACCAGCTGCGTTTTCGCGACACCAATAACGTTAAGCAAATATAGGAACTTTCGTCGATGGGAGCATAACTTATGCTCGCGATCGGACGATGTTGCATAAGCGGTATCGCCATGTATCTGTTCGCGCGATACGATCATCGTGGAATTAATGAATTGTTTACACGTATGAAACAGAATTAGAATTGCAGTGTGTTGTTCCGGCAATATCATGTGAATGTTTTGTTAAGAAAGGAACAACAGCTTCATTATAAATTACTTAATTAGAATAGAACGGGTTGTTGATAACGAATTAATATAACATTCATTTCGATACGTGTAAATTACGCAAAATAATGCGCCATTATATTGAATTGTTCAATTGGGGAAATTAATTTCGCTAATAATTATTAACAGATTTTCTCGGATGTATCTAAATTGCGATAAATAGTACGTAACTTATAACAATTGATTTTAACGATATCAGAAGCGTATAAACAACGGTTTCGTACGAAAACCATTGCATGGAGATTCGATCAGCACGGCCCGACTCAAACATTTCGAGCGATGAGGCAAACTGCTTTTATTGCAAACTTGAGCCGTTTCGATGAATGGTTTATCGTTAACAAAAGCGGCCTGCAAGCGCGATAAATCCGTGTTTCGCTGGTCTCGGGCGAGAGAATAAGCCGCCCGCCGCGAACTTCAGCCCGCGTCGAACTTTATGGACCTATAAAACCGAAGTGCCTATTGATTGCGGGAACACGTGAGGGAATAGGAGAAACATCTTCTTCCAGAGAGATATGCGTATGCGCACGTATATTCGAAGCTACAAAAGCGCATCTCTCGGAGAGAATCCCGCTCGCCTTGTCGAGGCGTTTGACTTTTGTCGTGACAAACGAGCCGTTTACCGTTCTTTCGTTTCCAAAGAGATCCCGGTATTTGACTTTTACGCGGCCGATGCGAGCGCGTTTCGTTTAGCGCTTCTTCGTGCGGAAAATTTCACGTTTCTCGGCAAGAGGCCATTCGAGAAGATTATTGTTAACAAGACTAGAGAAACTGTGCGCAAGGGAGCGGCAGTTGCACAATTATCATTTCCCAACTCTCTCGTCACGCGCGCATAAATATGTCCAATCGGAAAAGCGATACACGAGGAAAGCGTCGTCGGCTTCCCCGTCGGAGTGGCCACTCTCGAATATGCGCGCCGGAATTTTCCGCGGGTGAATCCGCGTATAAATGACACGCGCGCGCATACTGAAAGTTCGCCCGAATATCACGGCAGGAAGCGACGTTTACGCGCGCTACACACAGCGAGTCTCTCGCGAACTCGTAAATTATTCCGGCCAATAAATAACGCTCGGCTCGATGAGCGATAGCGATCAAAAGGAAACCGTCTCGTGATATATGCGTATCCTGCGCACCCTGCGGGGTGATGGTTCCTCTCCTTCCACCTCTTAATCCGGACATACGTGCGCGGGCGTGTGTGTGTGTGTGTGTGTTGGTGTGCATGTCGAACACGTGTTAACGTGCGCGTGTCGTCGTGATGTGATATGTGCGGCGAGGCTAGTCGCGTTCATTCTCACGTTTTCACTCGCGCCTGAAGTACGCTTCCGTTACCATTTATTTCCATTAGTCGCTCGCTCTTTCTTCGAAAGCCGGCCATCCTCGGTAATTTACGACCTTGCGATATCGATCAAAAATAGCTATCTGTGTACGTGTGAGCGGATTTATCTCGCGATAATTCAGGCAAGTTCAAACATATCTCGTCATTAAAGCGCCCGAGACGTTTCAAACGGCACAGTAACACGCAGCGATATCGAGACGTGGTCTGACGAATTCGCCTACCTCTACCGTGCGAATGGTAAAGCAAGTCGTTAAGAATCGATCGTTCGCTAACGAAAGATCGCGGCCGGGAATGAAGGAGAATCCCGCGGATTCAACACGGAGATGGCCAGTTCGGAAGACCGGCGAGTCGCGCCTTAGATACTAGAATATCACACCTACTTTCATTCTCGAAGTCAAACTTCGCGTCTCCACTTGGATCGCGCGCACAACGTGTCTCTTTCTCCCCGCTGCTCGCTCTTGCATTTTTTTTTTGCACAACTCTTTCCTTCTCCGACCGCGCGAACTTTGTTTCACTTTCTCCGTCGCACTTGCTCGCACTCGCATTCTCTTACTTTCCTGTCACGCTTGCTCCTCTTTTATAGCGTCCTCACCGAAGAGTAGTCGAATGGACCTCCTCCTCCTCCTCTTCCCTCGCGGAATCTTCTCTCAGGATTTTCTTTTCTTCGCGCCCGCACGTCCGTGCTCGCTTCTCTCGCGACCAAACGCCCTTTGTCGTCAGCGACGAGCCGCGTGAAACTGCACCGGCAACATTCGCCGGAGTGAAAATCCATTGGACTCGTCGGACGATCGTACGTGACGCGTCCAAAGATCGCCGAATATTCTAAACTTACGGAAAACCCATGCAGTTTCACGAACGCGTGGAAATATCCCCCGGGATAATAATCGCGCGCGCGCGCGCGAAATGCGGATCGAAAGAATAAATTTGGCTCGCGGGCGAAATAATAGATACGCTGTGCTCAGTTTGGGAAAATGTCCGAAAATAGAACATCCGCCTCGAAATTAATTGTTAATTAGATTCCTTCGTTGAGAACTGGGAGATCCCGCCGCAGAACGTTGAAATACTGACATATTTATTTTGCGTGCGCAAACTCAACATTACGCTTTTATATTTTTCCGTCATAACAGAATAAATGTATCGAGCTTTGGCCGAATTTTCGATGCTATTTCAAGTTATTATTCACATCGCACAAAAACTGACATAAAAACCATTTTTGTCGGAATTATCACGAATTTTTAACTTATATACGCGGTCCCTTGTAAGGGAAGTCTGTCTTTCTCTCTCTCTCTCTTTCTCTCACTTACTCACTCACTCATTCTCATTCGATAAAATTGTTATTCGCACTTGCAGCCGCAGCGCGATCGCATTTGCAATGCGCGGTATCCGAAATATTAATTTCGCTTTGTCGGGATGTCGGCACGATAAATCCATTTATCGATTTATGTGTTATTCGCAGGCACATTTCGCACAACCGCGGCGACTTATATGCGTTTCGGTAGTTAATCTCATGCGTGCCGTAAAACGGAATTTGCACGCGTTGTACCGGAATTTATATCCCCGCTGTACGACGCTGCATGCCATATGAAGTACAGTTAGTTCGGTCTAAATCCCACGGCTGTAATTGTCGGGGTATAAAGCGGAACAGACACGAGGAGACGATCGAGCACGAATCAAGCGTAGATTTCCAAATTCATGTAGTTAAGAAATTTGAGTGAGTCACGTGCTCATTTATAAACTCAACGAAATTTAATATAGCACAAGGTCAAAAATAAATCCGTGGACATTTGAATCGTTCAATCGACATTGCATTTTGACACGTCAAGTCAACCAATCTCGCTATTGAATCTTGAACGAACGATCTCGAGTAAAGACTAATATTTTTCATAGAAATGAATTGATATTTTTCGAATGAAAACGCGCAGGGAACGTCGGCGTCGAGATATCGCCGATCGTCGTTATTACACGACAAGTTCGCGTTCGTGTTATCTACTATCTGGCTTGTGACATTTGCTATTAGCAGTAAAATCTTAAAACTTGAATGAGAAGTTAATGACGACTGCGAGCCGCAATCGATGGGAACTTTAAAGAGTCCCCCGACTTGGAACTCGTTAAAAGGATCGGGAGTTAAATATGATAAGGAGAAATCGAAGTGAGAGTCACCGCCGCCGCCGTCGCCGCGAAAATTACGGGGAAACTTTCGACTAAGTATCCGCCGAACGAGGAATACTGATCTATAAAGTCGCTTAAAATATGCGGAGAAGCGCGCTCGTCCGACTACTTCCTGTCTACAAAATTACTAGAGCGCTATGTATCGACCCCGAACGTAACTTCTCGCGAGAACGAGAGAGAGAGAGAGAGAGAGAGAGAGAGAGGTAGAGAACTTTCACACAGAAATCGACGTGCAGTCCACAAACTCAATAATTGACGTAGTAATAAATTAAAATAACAACCCAACCCACGACGGTATTCTGAAATTAATTAAATATAATTAATGCAGTGTCAATGCAATTAACACAAATTTACCTCCCCATCGCGTCGCAGTACGATCGCCTCGTGTCAACGAGATCTTCACCCTCCATCTATCACTCTTACGGAAACTATCGTCGAACGATCGATCGGTGTGCGGGTGGTCGCTGAGCGCGAAAGCGCGATCGGCTTGCAGGAGCGATCGTCGCGGCTCGGTCTCCTCGACGTGGGCTCGGCGATCGCCGTGCTTAATCGCTAAGCCTAACTTTTTATACGTAAGGATCGGACAACTGACACTGAACCCGCCGCGCGATCCCGCGAGCGCGCGCTAGAACGTTATTCCCGAGGAGGCCGACTCACGCGAGACCGGTAGGTCACGTCGTGAGGAGAACGAGCGCGAAGACCGTGAACGGGACGAGCAGGCCGGCGCGGACGCTGCGCGCGGCCGCGTGCAGGTGATCGCCGGCGCTGAGCCTCTGGTTGTTCACGTACGCCATCAGCACCCTGCGCTCAGCCTCGTACATTCGCGAGCCCACCTCGGCGGTGCACTTGATCTTCACCAGGCCGCCGCCGCCCTCGAAGTGCCGCGGCTCGGCCTCTAATCGCAGCCCGAGGCTGGTCGGGATGCCATTGGTGCTGAAGGGCGCCAACGGCGGGTGCTGGACAGTGTTCTCGCGCGGTACCTGCGAAACATACGATACGGGCGGATTAGCGGAAGGTAGTTAGCGGTGGAGTAGACGATACGTAATAGTTTAAACCCCCGAGAAAATGTTGTGCTCTCAACTCGGCTTGATTCTCTCTAAGCCGATATTTTGCTTCTGGAAACAAGGGCCTAGCGGGGAAGCGGTAAACACTGCCGTGTATGTATTTAAATTAATAGTTCAATTTTAATTTGTGAATATTTTATTATTTTGAAATATTACTCGCTCCAGCGCGAGAAACAGGAATTGATTAATAACTGTTGTAAACAAACTGTGTTTGGTGGCAGTATTATTGCCGCAAAATCATAATGGCGCGCAGTGGCAAACAAACGAAATTTAATTGAAAAAAAATATATAGAGCTGTGGGCGTGTGTAACTTCAAAGTTACCGAATACAATAGAGGGTTACAAAATGTAATTTAGCTTTTAATCGAGTTTACGTTCTTGTAAAGCTTTCACGCGGGTTTGTATGAGCGTGATTACGATGGGTTATTTGTTTTATATTAAAACATATGATATATCTGGAATTTCGTGCGTGAATACGAGTGAAGATCGAATAGAGGAGGACTTTGTCGGGGTTTATCAAATGGATATACTAACGTAGAGCGGAAAACGAAGTCTGGTCACGTTTTCATGAAAGTACGATTTCACGAGACGAATTGTCGGGACGCTCCATACTTTATTTCGGAAGAGAATTCTCCTATTATATTATATCCCTTTCCCTTATTTCTGAATCATTCTCGTGTATGAAAAAAAAAAATACGGTCCCGGAATTTAAGTCATTGTAGGATGCATAACTGATGCAACAACATAATATAAGCTAATATACTAGTAACATGGTATAAAGATAATTAATCTACCGAAAAATATTTAAATTTTCGCAAACAAAATTGTAAGACAACATATTTTCTCCCATACGATCGATTTCAAAACATCACCAGCTCGAATTGTCGGTTTTTTTTATATATTAGGATCCGCACTGTGCGGCTGCTAAATTTGCACGCGCTTGCGATGGTAATAAGAGGAAAATTCCACTGGAAGTCGACACGCCGCGAATCGTTTGTTACGTGCCAGACTACAGAAAAGAAAAGCCGCAGCCGGGCTTGCGGCGCAGCCGCGGATGAGAAACGAGGTCGCTGAAATTTTTGTTTCGCATATTAAAGGCGAGACTCAGGCCGAGGTGAGAGTGGGAAATCGGACCGTGTCCGCTTTAATTTCTGACGGCGTATAAATTCGAGTGTCGGATCATTTTTCGTTTCGTTAGTCGAATTTTTGCGTTCATTACTTGCGACTCCCTGTTTCACGCGGCGCATTGTTCTTCCCCGTCAAACCGTACAGAGAGCGGCAGAAAAGTTCTTTTGCAAAAGAAAAATATATTTTTGGCACATTGACGCTTTGCTAAAAATCAGTCCTAAATTAATTATAGAATCTCTCGTGAAAATATGAGTTATTTTCCATTATTCTTTACGTACCCTCGTTAAATACCATTGGATTATTTATACCTCGCTCTTCCAATTTCTAAATATGGAAAACCAAATTTCTTGAAATCAGAACTCATTCTAAATAAATAAAAAATCATTCTAAGCGGTAGTGGAAATATTGTGAGCCGAGAAAAGTGGCACAACGGTCACAAGATGGTTACAAAGGCTTGATCATCTCATTGCTTGTAATATGCGCCATTAGTTTAAATTACATTTCGTACGGAGTATAAATATTCACTCCACGATACGGGGTGAAAGAATTCACTCCAAAAGGGAAAAGTCACTTCGCTTTCCGAGTGAAGATTTCGCTCTAGAAAATTCAAAGAATACGAACTAATTTGAACAAATGGGCATTGTTAATGAGTGAACTTTCGCGGTAACACGGCGGATAGTTTTCCACGGTGGTTGTTCCGATGCGACGAGCAATTGTTAGGGGAGTTTGGGAAGACTTGGACGGATCATAGGATCGTCTGCGAAATACCGGGTCGCATACATATGCAGCGGACGATCGCAGGCGTTTTGGCTTTAAGCGTTCGACGTTAGCCGCGGTACGAGGCATGTAACTAATCGAACTAGCACATTGGACCGAACTATCGTTCGCGCTTTGTGGCGAGGATCGCCGACTCGCCGAAGTTAAAGCTACTAGTCCATGGAGAACTACCGTTCGTAGATAATGCTCGGGTCCCGACCGTCTTACTTACCAATAACTTCCGCATACTGAGGCAGCGAGAATAATGGACACCGCGTGACTCGAGCTTCTTGTGTACGAAACGGCGGTCGTTGCGCAAACAATCTCGCTCACCCTGTGTCTCCCTCTTTCTCTGTATGTTACGTTAGATAAAAATTAAATCCGACGGACTCCCTCTCTCTCTGCATTCCCTCAAAATAGCTGAAACGCGCGATATACACGCGCTGATAGTAATGAAAAATTCATCGAAACACGTCGCAGCGAGATACGCGTCGCAACTGTTCTCCGCGACCTGTCTCTCTTTTTTTTTTTGCTTCCTCGAAAATGCCAGTTACGCGTTAGCTGCATTTGCAGCTTGCATTCGTAGCGACCGTCTGCTTTATTGATGCATTACACCGTTTTGTGTTTTGCATTTTGCGCAACGCCGCGCATCCCAGTGTGTCTCTCGCGTGAGTTGGTGGGGTTTTAACGGATGTGCCAAAAACCGGTTCAATCGAATGCGTCGGCCGCGCGCGTCCTTTTGATTTATTCGTTATTACGTTTTATTGCGACGCGCGGCTCTCGAAGTTGCGCGAAGTGCGCTCTGTTTTTTAGGAATGTAATAACTATGTAACGCGATACGAGCTTGTAAATTTCGACCCTATTAACTCTCTCTTCAACGCGCGTATTTATAATTCGGCAGCGATCTCGCGAGTTTTCCCTTCTTTTTTTCCCGCCCCACCGTAATTCTTAATTATGGCGTAATCGTTGAATATGAAAAATTTCGAGATAATTGAATCTACTCTAACGAGCGGTGCCGATAGCTCGCTCGTTACGACTGCACATTATTTACGACTCCCTTCCCGTGTACTCACTCGGAGGAGCGCTTCTTTTTCGGCACTAATTACCGTCGCGATGTAATATCGTTTAATTAAATTCGCATTTTCTCGCCCGCGTGAAAATCCCGTCGACATAATACATGGTGCGCGACGTAACACGAAAAAGAGCGCCGCTCTAATTAGCCGCGTTCTCGCATTCCGCGAGGGGATCGCGGAAATCGAGGCCGCTTAATTTCGGACGAAATCTGAACGAATGCTTCCCCCCTCTTCCCCACTGAGCCGCTAGTTGGCCAAGAAATTGCTGCTCCCGCAACAGTTTCGGTCGCCTGAGATATCGCGCGACGTCACGTTGATTCGCACGATAAAGACGCCGATAATGCGATTAGCCAATTGATCTCATCGGACGGCGACAATGTTCACCATAAACCTTCGGAGTTATATCGACGACGGGGGTTAATCGTCCTGGTATGCCGGCGTGGGCGATATTTCAAGGCCGTTGTCGAGGCCCGCCGTCGACTCGGCTCGACGATTGGCCCGACGTCATATCGCTGATTTATGCACGTCCGTACGGGATACCGGAAGATCATTGTTCGTCGTTCTCGGCGTTCGCGTCGTACGCGCCGCATTGTGCTCCGCCTTTTCACCACGAACGGTTCATCCCGTCGAACAATGTTTGCCACGGCCCCGTGGACCTGGGCCGCCGTGGCCATAAGGACGATTTGCCGCAATTTCTGAAGGATCCATTGTTCGATCGCCGATCGTGACCGGAATCTCGCGCGAGCGGGCCGGCAGGCCGAGCGAACGAGCGCGCGCGCGACAATGGGAAACGATTGGGAAACCGTACGTGTAATATGCATTCCTGTGAGGGGAACCACGGGACTCCCGAATACCGCGGATTTTTAGGCCGGCCAGTTCCCCGAGCGCGACGCGTGTCCTGGATTATCATATTTGACGGCAAAAACCGGAATTTACTATAGTCTTCTTCTACATAGTGCAATTTTCCGGCTAACTCTGAATTTGAGGCATATCACCTCGTTTTATTGCCTATTAACAACGTGCGATCGAGTTTTAAAATGTAATTAATAGTACTTTATATATAACTTAATGTGATTAATTCCTTTTCATTTTGGGACACGCGTCGGACAGTTGCGGAAATATGAGCGTTTTCCCGTTAAAATAACCTTCATATTTTTCGGCCAGAAGATGCATAAATCGATAATTAATAACATCGCAAATATATCCGACGTATTATTTCATTATAAAAGCACACGCTGTCTGTACTATGCGGTGGCGCGAGAAAAATGGATTTTCATGCTGATCTCGTTTGTTCATATTTCTCGTTGGTGTGAACGACAACTTTCAGTAACGATGGAAAGTACGCGAGAATAATGAAGCTCACGCGGTACCGCGCTACCATGCGCGCGTAATTATATTTTTTTAAATAATTCCGTCCATTTTTACGCGCATGTATGCATGTTCGCCGGCTGGCTAAGAACGGCAGTGTAAATCCTCATTTCCGGCACAGACATTGGTGCCGCGTAGTGCAAATGCACCAACGTATACGTATATATTTTTTTAAACAAAGTTTCCTTTGGAGATTACGCCGGAGGAATATTTCGCAGTTTAATTACAAGCCTTCGCGCCATCTCATCCATTGCCGTGTAACGTTCCTTTTCCCGGCTGAAAATTACGAAATGTTACGACGTGCAGTCCGACCGGAGGGCGAAACGCTTAATTAGAAAATAGCTTCAGCAGCCGTTTCCGTTTCTTCTTGAATCTTAATCTTTATTCGAGGGATTACGACGCTCGCAAAAAAGGAATACCCAAAGTTGGCCACCTCGCTCGCCTCTTCCTCCGCGCGCGAGGCTGCGGGAAAATAATGTAACTCTGTCGTAACGCTGTTTCGGATGGCCTGCACGATCCGAGAGAGCCAAAGGCAAAACTCAAAGCAACGGTGGCGCGGGGCTGCGCCTTGGGGCTCGACTTTGGGCCACTC